TTGTGCTGGCAAAGGCCCCGGGCGATGAAGCTTGCAGACTTGCCCCAGCCGTCGGAGCTGAGAGAAGATGGGTCAGCAGCTGGCACGGAGAATTCGGGTTCATCTGGTTAAAGCAGTTTACCTCTATTTTCATTTCACTGTCAAGAGAGAATATTGAGTTTTTTCAAAGGTTTCTCACCATTTATGGAAATGACTGTTAAGATTTTTACTCCTTCGGTCTTCCTGAAATTATTTGTATCACCATAATATAGTTCCTCATGTTGAACGATCCTTCCTTGCATTCCTGGGGAAAACCATGCCCTGTCTTAGTGTATCAGTCTATTAATGTGCTTTTGAGTTCAACTTACTGATAGTTTATTTAGGATTTTTAAATTGATATTCATATTGATGTTTGATCTGTTGTTTCCCTTTCTTGTGCAATCTTATTCGATTTTTAAATTTTGCTAATTTTTTTAATTCTCTGGAACATTCTAAATAGCGTTGGCATTATCCCTTGGTGGGATCGCCAGTGAGACTGCTGGGCCTGGCGGGTCTTGGAAGGCGGCTGCCTCTGGCGCTGCCTCCCCGCGTTGTTCCTGGGGTTATTTCTGCACTTCTGGATGGTAACGTCCCCACGCCGTCCTGCTCCAGCGCTTCACGGTTTTGCTTTCTCCTCATTTGCTCAGTTTCATTGTCTGTCAGCATCTCCTGCCTCCGGAAGCATTTGCATTCCGTGCATTGTGTCATGTTCAAGGGCACCTCACTGGCCTTTGCACCTGAGCCCCATCTTCCCCAGGCCACACTTGCTCTCGAACACCCGAGCTGTTGCGTGGGGTGTCTGGCGTTTGTCCTCTGCAGAGAAGTCCGAGGCCAGCCTTCCCGCGCCGCCCTGGCAGAGGACTCTGGGGACGGTGTAAAGCCGTCCTCCTGGGCCAGCTTCGTCCTCTGTCCACGTCTGTGGGCGCCTCTCTCGGAGCCTCGGCGTTTGTCGTGCTCTCTCGGAGGTGTGGTTAGGTTCAGCCATGTCACTGCATTGCTTGATGTTTCTGTTCTGTGTTTTCATCTTGTGACCATGGTGTGTCCATCCCCAGATTGCTCCCCTAGGACGTCAGCCTCCGTGTGGGCCTCTTGTCTCATGCCCTTCCCTTTCCTGTCCACTTCCCTTGCACTGGCTCTTCTGGGTCCTCCCTGCTGCTGCTCCTTCCTCGTGGAGGGCTCTGTCACCCTCTGTGGTCACCTGCTGTGACATGGAAACGATACCCAAAAGTGGGGTTTCCAAGTGTGGGTTCTGGATTCACCCAAGTTGTCTGATGTTGGGTCTTAATAGCCGGTAGCTGTGTGACCCATTAGTGAACTTCTGTGCCTCAGTTTCCTCATCCGTAAAATAGGTAAAACGCTAGGACTTACCTCGTGGATATTAGACTAAATGAGTTAATACGCAGATGGACCTGGAATAGTCCCTGACATTTGGTGAGGACGATAAAGGCTGCGGTTTTGGTGGTGGTTATTGTTTATACCAGGGGTCGGCAAACTTTTTCTTAAAGGGCCAGATAGTAAATTTTTTCACCTTAGCGGTACTTACAGTCTCTGTTGCAACTTTTCATTCTGCATAAAAGCAACCATAGACATTATGTTAAAGAAAGAAACGTTCATGGCTGTGTTCCAGTAAAACTTCATGTACAAACACAGGCAGCGGGCTGGGCGGGGCCAGCTCCAGACTTATGTTGCTACTGCTTGACCCTCGGCCACCGCATCCTGTGCTGTCAGGTTTTCTTCTGAGCCAGTGTGTGGGGCTGGGTACATTGTATTCCTCAGAGCGGGGTGGGGGGACGTGTCCTGATGGGGTTGGCCACACCGATGAGAAAGCCTGGTCCTGTTCTCTGAGGTTCTGTGAGGTTCCTCCAGCCCGCGGGGACTGTGTCGTCCCCTGCCTCTCTGACCCTGGAACTCCTGCACGGGAGCCTCTGCACAGGTGCTGGTCACCCCCTGGCTGGAAGAGGCAGCAGAGGCCCAAGACGGAGGAATCCCGGCTCAGAGTCGCCGTGCAGAGGGCACCCGCCCAGCACTCGCGCATGACACTGCATGCACAAGAGAAGTGGACGGCTTTGTCCCAGCGGCCAGCGCACCTGAGTCATACAGTCATCTCCAGCGTGAACCAGCACTACGTGGTTCTCGTGGATTTTTGCTCTGAGGAAATGTCAAACGTCATATTAAAGTTTTATCTGTAGACGAAAAAAAAAATTCCTTAGGTTCACAGCTGCTTACAAAAAAAAAGGAAAAAGGAAAGAAAGGTCCTCACTGTTACTGTGGCTGGATAATGCTGCAAGTCAGATAAACGCCTTGAGCAGCGGGTTACGTGGGACCGAGACCGCTGGCAAGGAAGGGGCCTCACTGAAGTGCCCACGGCGGCCTTTGTCTGGGTGGAAAAGGAGCTGCTTCTGCATCTACTTGTATAGGTTTGTTATGTCCCCTTAAACTTTTTCACCTTCCTAAGGCGTCATATTGATGCTTTTCCCAAGATTTAGTACATTTCTGTGTTTTCTCTGGAAACGGCGTTGGTTTTGTCCCTGCTGTGGAAGGCCATCGTCATGCGAGGTTAGAAGGGACGGCCAGAGGCCCTGGCGGTGTCCCCAGGGTGCAGAGTGAGCACACCCTGGGGCAGTCTCCGCTCGTAAGTCCTGGGAGCTGGGAAAGTGCCCGTCCTGTGCTTCGAGGACACCTAAGAGTTCTGACTGAACACTTCTTTTTTTTTTTTCCTTTTTGTCTTTTTTCGTGACCGGTAACGGGATCACAACCCTCGGTGTCGCGCCCGTACCGCGCTCAACCAGTGAGCGGACTGGTCTCTATATGGGATCCGAACCCTCGGCGGGAGCGCCGCCCTCTACGGAGTGCGCCACCGGGCCGGCCCTGAACACTTCTTTAAAAGCGTCTTCGCCAAGTTTTAGGTCTTAGTTGCCTCCCGCGGAACGTGCTCTCGTGGGTTGAGATTACCCAATGAGGTAGATCGCGGTGTCCTCAGGGCAGTCCCCGACTCGCAGGAGCACCACGAAGCCGTGGTCCTCGTCACGCTTAGTGTTTGCAGAGGGGTCGGCAGCCTGTCCCCGTGAGGGCCGGGTGGCCAGCATGCTTGGCTTTGTGGGTGGTGCTCCCGTCTGCCGCTGTAGCACAGAGTCCGCCACAGACTCCATGTGTACACCAGCCAGCGTAGCTGTGTTCCGATAAAACTTTATTACAGAACAGGAGGGGGCCAGTGGACCCCGAGGGCCAAGGCAGAGTTCCTAGAGAGTTTCCAAGTGTGTGCTTGGAGGCAGCGAAACGAATCAAGAGGAAAGAAAGAACTGTGCCCGGCCCGCACCCACGCAGACCGGGTTTTTCTTCAGGAGGTGCCCCCGGCCCTGCACCGCCCAGTGGAACCTCTGGCTCCTCGCCTTGGTACTCAGGGCTTCTGTTTTGGTTTCTGCAAATACGTATTTAGGACTTGTTTCTGGCCTAAACACATAATCAAAAACTTCACGGGTGACTTGCAGCGAGCGCTCACTCGGCGTGAACTGACCTCTGTCCTCCCTGGCTCCGTGCCGGGAGCCCCGGGAGGGCAGGAGCAGGGACTTCTGTTAATCACAGATGTGTTAACGTGTTGGTCAGGCGACTGGGGCACGCCAAGAGCTCCTGGAGGCGCTAGAGAAGGCGGCAGGCCAGCTCATCCCTCTGTCCCCTGTGCGCCTGGCCCTCCACGAGGGGCACGATGAGCAGCGGGCATCCCCGGGGGCACACACGCAGTTCAGACGCCGGAGGAGCCGTCAGCTGAGACAGAAATGCACCAGGTGCCCCCACAGGGTGTTGCTGGCAGGCTCTGTGGGTTCAGTTTTGAGAGCTGAGTCTTAGTAAATGTAGGAAAGGTCTTGTTAAAGGAAACCACACGGTCAGCTGTGAGTCGTGGAGGGCCCTGCGGTCCACGGGAGGTCACTTGGTCTGGTTCTTTAAATCCCATGACGTGTCAGTGAAAACTGGACACCACCTGCCCTCTCCCCTGACCCCAGCCGCCCCTCAGCCCTCACTTGGAGGGCTGGCTGGCATTTCAGACTCACTGGGGCCAAGGCAGGACTGTGACATCCCCCTCTGGGACTGCTGAGTCGTCCCTGCACTGGGAACGGCTGGGTCCCAGGGCCAGGCGCCAGCCTGGAGTCACACCAGCTTCTTCTGTCCTCCCCATGTCCAGCCCTTCTCGCTGCCCCCACCCGTGGTCCAAGCACCTCTGCCCTCACCTGGTAACAGGGCACCACCTTTCCTCCTGGGCCTGCCCACTCTTCCCTCCAGAGGGTCCATCCAGACACAGCGGCCAGAGCAATCCTTTGCAGGACCACATCATCCCCAGGCGATTTCCTTACCTGCCCCTCTGCCTGGCCCAGGCACCTGCCCGCCTGCTCCGAGCTGGTCCCCTCAGCAGGTCTGCACGGGCCCGTCTCTGCCTCCAGGTGGTCCCAGAGCTCCACCCAGTCCTCTGCCTTCCTGGGCCACCCACCCACGCAGCCCCACCCCCACCCCCGCCCCAGTGGGCCTCTGGCTACTGCCCCTGCCTCATTTTAACCTTTTTTACCCTAAAACAGGCCTGGCACCATTGGGGAGGAAGTGGGATGAAATGAGTGAATAAATGAATGGATGAGTGGATGAGTGGAAGTCCAAACCCAAGCTTCACCGCCGTGGAGCTATAACTGCTGACAGGCGGGTCTTGCTTCTGGGTGGGCAAGGGCAGGTGTCAGAAACCCCCAGGGTGACACCTCCCTTTCCCTTGGGGCTGTTTTTTCTGCTGAACCCAGCAGCCACTTGGGTGCCCTCGGGTGCCTCCTTGTCTTGGCCGCTTGGGAGGAGAGTTGGCTGCAGAAGACTGTCACCGAGAGCCGCTCTGCGTTCTGTTAAAACCTCCCTGGTCATAAAGGCTGCTCGTGTCGAGCTTCCGTCTAAAGCGAGGTCAGCGCCTGCCACAGTGGGGTTTCATCCTCTGGTCGTCCCTCTCTCCTGCTCAGGTTGTTCCTGGTGATAGAGTATGTCAACGGGGGGGACCTCATGTTCCACATGCAGAGACAGAGGAAGCTCCCGGAGGAGCATGCCAGGTGGGTGCCGGGGCAGGGGGGTGCCGGGCCGCAGGTGGGCTCAGGCCACTCAGAGGGACAGGCATGGGGAACCGTCCCCGGGAGGTCAGCTGGGAGTTGAAGGAGAGGAAGCCTGGGGGAAGTGGCAAAGAGGTGCTACCTTCCCCCGAGATGTGACATCCAAAGCCGGGAGGGTCTTCTGAGTTACAGGCCTTGGAAACAGCCCCTCGGACTCAGCACCGCTTGCAGGAGAGCCGGGTGTCTCGTGGGACCACTTTGTTTTCGTAAGGGCCCTGCATTGGTTCTGTCCTCTTCCCTGTTTCCAAGATGGGGGCACGAGTTCCAAGGGCAGGCGCACCTGAGTGACTCGGCGCTCCAGGAGCAGCCACAGATGCCGCTCCCCAAGTGGCTCTGCAGGACGCTCGCCCTCTCGGGCTGCGTGGGGGCTTGTTTCGACTCTGTCCACCTTTCCTGGCTTCCAGGTTTCCCTTTTCCTCATTTCCTCACTTAAGAAGAAAATGTCATGTGGTTCTGTGATCCTTTTTGGATCCACCTTGGATCCTTTTTGGGGAAAAGATGGGCAACAAACCAAGAAAAGTGCCCGCCCGCACGCATCTTGTGAAACCCCCGCCTTGCCCGCTCCGCGCACCTGGTCCCAAGCCTGTGGCACGTCACCACCGCTGTGTGGTGTCTCCACCGTCGTCTCCAGAACTCTCCATTTCCCCAAACTGAGCTCTGTCCGCCTTAAACACTAACCCTCCACCCCTCCCCCATTCTACTTCTGTCTCTGTGGATCTGACGACTCTGGCTCCTTCCCGTGAGTGGAGTCACACAGCACCCGCCCTTGGTGACAGGCTTATTTCCCTGAGCGTTAGGTCCTCAAGGCTCGCCGTGTTGCACAGGTGTCAGGCGTCCTTGCACATTTCAGTGGTCGTGGGCGATGCTGCTGTGAACGTGGTGTACAGACACCTGTTTGAGCTGCTGCTTGCAGTTCTTTTGGGTGTAGACCTGGAAGTGGAGCTGCTGGATCACATGCAATTCTACGTTTGACTTTTGAGGGACTGCCACGATATTGCCTCACGTGACCACACCTCCATCCCCTCCAGCAGGGCACAAGGGCCCCGGTGTTTCCGCACCCTCAGCAGCACTCCTCATTTCCTGTCTTTTGATTGACAGCAGCCATCCCAGTGGGTGTGAGGTGGCATCTCGCTGTGGTTGTGACTTACACTCCCCTAATGTCTAGTGATGTGGAGCATCTTTTTTCTGGTCTTGTTCGCCCCATGCATTTGATTTTTTTTTAAATTTTTAAATCCCGAGGCTGGTAATTGAGGGGACACGGGGGCAGTGGTCGGGGAGCAGCCAGTGGGGGGCCGTCTGCAGGAGCCCCTGCTCCAGGCTCTGTGCACTCTCTGCTGGTGACAGGATGCCCCTCCTCCCGCAGGTTCTATGCTGCTGAGATTTGCATCGCTCTCAACTTCTTGCACGAGAGAGGGATTATTTACCGGGACCTGAAGCTGGACAATGTCCTCCTCGACGCTGACGGACACATCAAGCTGACGGACTACGGCATGTGCAAGGTGAGTGGCCACACAGCCCCCCAGCGGCACGGTCAGCACCTCTGCCTCCCGCCCTCAGTCCCAGCAGAAACGCAGACTGGCCTTGTAAGTGGCTGGGCCATGCTGCGCCCTGCAACCGTCCCCTGCAACCGTCCCCAGCCGGTTTTCTCTGAGGCGCGTCTTCCTGCCCACGGGATCATGTCTGGAGTTTCCCCGTCCTGGTAACTCTGTCCCCACAGGAAGGCCTGGGCCCTGGGGACACAACAAGCACTTTCTGTGGAACCCCGAACTACATTGCCCCGGAAATCCTGCGCGGAGAGGAGTACGGTGAGCAGTGTGGTCACCAGCGAGCGGGGACACAGGTGTGGACGGGGAGGCCCCCACCCCCTGGATGTGTGTCTAGGAGCAGGGAGGTGGGTGGGCCTGCTGGGCTCCCCAGCCAAGGGTCTAAAACAAGGATCCAGGGTCCCGGCCAGGCAGCCACATGACACCTGAAGTGAACGCACACGTGCGCATTCACACGCAGACACTCACGCACACACGCATGCACACTCACGTGCACACACGTGCACCCTTACATTCTTCCCTGCTGGCTGTCACCATCTGGCCTCAGCCCTTATTTGTACCCGAGCAAACATCCCGTGTGCCCACTCCAGTGTCTCCTGGAGGAGGACACGGGACAGGGTCCCCTTGTCAAGGAGCCCCAGGGGCGTGGGGAGGAGGAAAAGATGAGTGAAGCACCAACACACCCCAGGCAGAACCAGGGTGGCTGTGGGACAGTGCGGTGCCCACAGTGATGGCAGAGGGTGCTAATCTGCAGAGGCGCCCTGTGGTGCGTCATCCTTCCTTTTCCTTTTCTGGATGTGAAAGAAAAATGGAACCTAGAGCGTGTGCGTGCGTGTACATATGTGCATATGTGCCTGTGTGTGTTCCCGTGTTGCACGTGTGCTCATCCACACACTTTTGCACCCTCGTGTTTTCAGTGAAGCACATCATAAACGTGCCTTCAAATATTTGCACACATTTTCTTTGCCATTAAAATGGGGGTAGGGGGCAGACAGGGTCGGCGGGTCCCCCACCCTGTGGGATAATTGGGCTCCCAGGATGCTGTTTCCGTGGAAGTCACTCAGCAGCCAGAGGAGGGACAGAGATTGGTGCACTAGGACAATCTAGAACCCAGTCCAGGACGGGGATCTGTGTGTGACAGAGGCAGCGTCTTCTTAGCAAGGAGCAAGTGGGCTGCTCCAGGGACAGGACAGCTGGCTGTCCACAGGCAGAAGCGAAGTCAGTCTCCCACCCCCACACCACCCCACGCACCAAGATACATTCCCAACACGTTGAACATTAAAAAACCAAAGCAGTGAGTGTAGGGAAAATGCAGGTAAGTATTTTTATCTCAGAGCGAGGGCTCTTGCAAGCTTATTTAAATAAAAGAAGCGAGGAAGGACGCTCTTTCAACCGATTAGATCAGTTTTACTTGTCTGTGCGGTCAAAGATGCCCCGAGCAGAATTAAATGATGGCCTAGAAAACCTCCAGTGTCAGGTAGCGGGTAGTGGCCTTAATGTGAGAACAATTCTGCAGCTAACGAAGAAAAGACGTGCACCCGGGCAGTGGACAGAGGCGAGGCCAGGCTGCCCGGGAAATGGATGGAGCGGAGAAGCCGACCGTAGCCCCGTCACGGCCGTGCAGGCGGGCGCCTGCATCTGAACTGCCACGTGCGTGTTGACTGAATGTGGCACAACAAACCGAAGGCGGGCTCGCCCACGTGGCCGCCTGGGGTGATGGCCCCCGTTCTCCCTCCAGGGTTCAGCGTGGACTGGTGGGCACTGGGGGTCCTCATGTTTGAGATGATGGCTGGCCGCTCGCCCTTCGACATCATCACCGCAGGCGGGCGCCTGCATCTGAACTGCCACGTGCGTGTTGACTGAATGTGGCACAACAAACCAAAGGCGGGCTCGCCCACGTGGCCGCCTGGGGTGATGGCCCCCATTCTCCCTCCAGGGTTCAGCGTGGACTGGTGGGCACTGGGGGTCCTCATGTTTGAGATGATGGCTGGCCGCTCGCCCTTCGACATCATCACCGACAACCCCGACATGAACACAGAGGACCACCTTTTCCAAGGTGCGCCCCTGCCCTGCGCTCAGTACCCTCCCACCCCTGGTGTGTTTTCCTTCCCTTTTCCTAGGTGCGATGGAGGGGTCCCCAGGCTGTGACCTGCAGTGCACCGGAGCTCACCCGGGCCTGTTCCTTCTGGCCAGTGCCTGTCCTCCCACACCCGCTGTCAGGGTCATGTGTGGATGGCTGTGGGGTGGGGTGACCGTGCTTCACCTTACCATGGGTCACCAGGAAAGAGAATGTGTCCTGATTTAGCCCAGACTCCCTTCTGCCATGGCCAGGTGCACACCTTGGGTCCCTGGGCCGGGCCATGCTTAGCCCAAAAGCACAGTCCCCGCCCCTCCCACCTAGGAGCTCCGAGACCTGCCCTGGTCCACAATTAATTGCCACTGGGATGACAAATCCAGGAATGCCGTTGTCCCCGCGGCGCCCTCTGGTGGCCAATGTGCAGAGCCAGGGTGTACCTGCGATAGCAGGGCTGCGTCGGGAGCTGTCGGTTCATATGTGATGGGGTAACGTGTGACCACGTGCCCCCGGGACGCCAGGGAGGCCTGGGTGGGCCTTTGTGGCTACGGATCTTGCTGTGGTAGGAGGGGGCTCGCGGGGCATGCAGGCCGCTGGGCAGAGTGAACCTAGCAAAGGCATGTGCTCACCGGGTCGCGTCCTTGCAGTTATCCTGGAGAAGCCGATCCGGATCCCCCGATTCCTCTCCGTCAAAGCCTCCCATGTCTTAAAAGGATTTTTAAACAAGGTACGCTTCCGGCCGTGGTGCCGAATGCTTTGTCTAGCGGTGTCGTGGGGGCAGAGGGCCAGCCCCAGCTGCAGGTCATTTCTAAGCTGTTTTGTATCCAGTGTGTAGGTTCGAGTGTCTGCTTCAGTATTCGAGCTCTGCTTTCTGCAAATCATCCATTTTGACTCATACTTAGCAGAAAAAAGCAATGAGAAATTATGCCCAAGGGAAATTGAGAGGAGAAGCTTAACATGTTGGAGGAAAGGATTTTAATAAAGGAACGTCCAGTTTCCAGCCGGTGGGTCAGCGCAGGTGGAGATGCTCAGAGCACCCAAAGCGGCTGCTGAGTGTAGAAAGCGGGGCATCCCTGCTGGGGACGTGCTGTAAGTCAGGGGCTTCTTTGCTTGGGACTGACTTGTTCTTATTTGAACTCTGACCCCCAGGACCCCAAAGAGAGGCTCGGCTGTCGGCCACAGACTGGATTTTCAGATATCAAGTCTCACGCGTTCTTCCGCAGCATAGACTGGGACCTGGTAAAGCATCAAAATTCACTTATGCCCCTACCCCAGAGGTGGGTAGAGCATTGGACCTCCCGGTCAGGGCAGGCCCCTGTGCCTGCGTGGCCGTCCTTGGCGTGGCCCAGCTGCGTGGTGCTGAGGCTACTGTGACCCCAGAGGGTGGGATGACAGTGAGGGGTGTTGGGGGGCTGCCTGCGGGGCCTGGGGGAGTGATTACGAGACATGTTTGATCGTCCAGAGCCAGGAGAACTAGGGGCTGGTGAGCTCTGGGTGGTGCTCCCTGGCACTCTCGGGAGGTGGCTTCCCAGTGTCTCCCAGCTGTGCCGCTGGGCCTCATGGGTTCTGTGAGGGCCCCGATCGTGGGGGCATTTTCCTGGGTTCACAGTCATTTGTCAAAACCTGCCTGTTGACATGTCTCCTCTCCAGGCACCGGCCGGGCTGGTGACTGTGGCGTTCCAGGTTTCCAGTTAGCGCCTGGTTCCTGGTACTGAAGAATTGAAGGAATTGGTTTCAAAATACAAAAACAGTTGCAGAGAACTGAACTATGAGTTGAAAACATGCTCTTTTGAGGAGAAAAAAGACTAGGTAGCTTGGGTGTGGCCCCGATCTCGTCGCTAAACCCCTCATTTTGCCGTGAACGGACGGGTGAGGACTGGTGGCCGGACAGGAAGCCAGGGTTTGTTCTTTCTGGGGACAGCGCCTCATCCGAGCCCATGTCTGTCTCCAAATAGGCCAAAAGTTTGGGTGACTTCCTGGGAACGTGAGGGGCACACGAGGCCCGCCCTCGGCCTGGGTCTGAGGGAGGGTCTGCGCCTCCACAGCGCGTGTGACATTGTCTGCAGCGCCCCCCGCCTGCATCTCACCGGGGTCCTGCACTCCTGACCCCCCATGGCCGCCACGTGGTCAAGGCCAGGCTGTGGGCCCACCAGGCCCGCGCAGGGTTCACTGCTGTCTGTGTCCAGCTCTGTTCCTGCTGCTTTCTCACCACTCCGTCTGCTCTTTGGGGGCTTTAGGAAGAAGTTTTTATATTTTGTGCACATTTCTTTCATCACCCTCGGCAGGGCTTGGTCTGAGTGGCCTCTGCCTCCACGCCCACTTACCACCTCCCTCCTCTGTGGACCCTCGTGTCACCGCATGGGGTTGGTTGGTTCTGACCACACGTGTGCCCCAGAACGGCTGGAGACGGGCGCTGGCTGTGGGCAGGGAGGTCCAGGCCGCCGTCCCCCACCCTCCCCGCTCCCCCGAGTCCCCCTGCTCCGGGGCCCCCTCTGGCACTTCCTTGTTTACGCTCTAGTTTTTCACATTCTCTTTTTTAACAGTTTTATGGAGATGTTATTTTAAAACTGAAACCATATATTTACTGTTTTAGTCTACAACTCAGTGGTTTCAGTACGTTCACAGAATTGTGCGGCCACCCCACAACAGATATTTTCATCACCGCCTGAGAGGCCCCATCCCCATCAGCAGTCTCCCCGACCACCTGCCCCGGCAGCCCCCCGTCTGCCCTGTCTCCAGGGACTTGCCTGTCCTGGACACTTTGTACAAATGGAGTCACACTTTCACCTCAAACGATGTTCTCGAGGTTCATCCATGGGGTAGCACATGTCCAAGTGTCCTTCCTTTTAAGGTTATCGAACAGTGTCCCCTTGCATGGGTGGCATGGATGCACCACGTGTGCTTTGTCCCTGCACCGCTGATGGATGCTCGGGCTGCTGTGAACACACGTGTGCGTGTGTGCACGTGGACATACGTTTTCGCTTCTCTGGGGCAGATGCCTCAGAGTAAATGCAGGTCAGGGTAGCTCCTTGTCTGACCTTTTCAGCGGCTGCCCAACTGTGTCCCATGGCAGCTGTCCCCCTACCAGGTGCTCTGTGGGACCCGGCGCCCTGGTGGCTCTCGGTGCGGGGGTGCAGCTTCAGGGTGTCCATCGTGGGCATCTGCTCCCCATAGAGTGAGATGGGGACACAGGGCACTCGGGGTCCGCACGTGTGGACTTGGGACGCTTCAGTGCTGGGAGGAAGGTGGTGGGGAACAGCTGGGGTGGGGACAAGGGTGGGGAGGGGACACAGCGCCTATCCCCAAGTCTCCAAGGGTAGAACTGGGACAGGTCCCACACTCACGCCAGACCAGCCCCCCTCAGTTCCCTTGTCGTTCAGCCCTCCAGCCCGCCTGCCAGTGGACACTTTTAGGCCTTTGGGTGCCCCTGCGCTCTTTGTTATGAGGTTTGGCGTCAGGCCCTGCCGATGGGCATCGAGTGCTTGGGGTTTACAGGCAACACGGCGTGGTCATCTGTTGTCAGTTTGGAGTGTGCATGAGCCCCTGTGCATGAGACCTCCTGTGCGTGAGCCCCTGTCCTCCCGCCTGCGTCTCTGGCTCCCTCCTCTCCTGCAGGTTCAGGTAACGGGGGAGAACCAGCCCCATCTGTGCCCTGAGTTTTGGGTGCACACACCTGAGCAGTCCTGCTCCAAGGGGCCCCGGGGCTCCGGAAGGGCTGGTTTGTGGGGCAGGAGCTGTCTGTCCCTGCATGAGAGCCAGGGTTGTCCTTGGCACAGCATCCATTCGATGACCCCGAGGGGCCGCCCTGCATCTTCAGCCATGGCCATGGGGGGCACAGCGCTGGCCTCACAGACAGGAGGTGGCTGGGTCCTGAAGTTTCTGTTTCAGACAAGTGCAGGGGGAGGTTCTGACGAAAGATTCTAAGGACAAGGGACTATTTGTCACAGACTAGAGAAGCCCCACGCAGGCACTGAGTCCGCTTCTGAGAGCGGAGCGGCAGGGGCTGGCCTGGGCTCCCCGTCTGCATGTGGTTGGCCGTCTCTCATAGGGACCTCTGTGGGACCTACTGCCAGGTCCCCAAACTTCCTTTCCTCGCCGGATTTGTGGCAGCAGTGATCCTGCGGCCAAGTGCTCGGGGTCTTCCCTGGCCCCCCAGGCTGTTCCAGAGGCGGGAAGTGTGTGAGGAGGGGGCTGCCCTCCTGCCTGCCGTGCTGAGTGGCACAGACAGGTCTGGGTGGGGTCTACGTTCCTTGCCTCCTCCGTTGGGGGTGGGGGTGCTCCCGAGGAGCTTGTCGGGGCCTCCCCTCCGCTGTCCTGACTCTTCACCCAGAAGCCTCCACTGGTCTGGCCGCTGGTGCAAAGGCCCAGGTGCAGCTCCGGGTCCTGACGGCAGAGTGCTGCTCCACTAGGTCGGTGGCAGGGGCTGCCCACGCTGCCAGGGTCTCTGATCTCCCGCACCCTCGGTGCCTGGTGCATGGCAGGTGTTTGTGGAAAATGTGAGTGAGACGCACACGAATTTCAGGAGCCTGAGCTCTGGAGCGAGGGATTCTCCAGCATGGTCCCAACTCCTCACCTTGATGTGAACTGGGGGGTGGGCCAGCCGCGAGGTGTCCCTCGGGGCATCACAACTACCTAGTACACGCCAGGTTGCTGGCAGGCGCCGTGTTCACCAGTCACCTCTGCGAACTAAAAATGCCTGTGATAAAAACCGTTTCCCGTGGTAATGGGAGCTGGGGGAGGAGATTCTGCCCCAGAGCAACAGGAACCGTTTATGGACACCCCCCCCTCCCAAAATCAGGTCAGTGAAATGGGTCCAGAGCTCCGGTAGGGGTGGAGGAAACCTAGTAGGAGCAGGATGCCTTGTGTCGTGAAACCTTCGGGGTGTTCCCGGGTAACCTGGAGAAGAGGGGGTGACAGGCATGTTCTCAGAAGCTCAGCGGGAGGGACCCGCTCATGCTGCCCGATGCTGTGCAAGGGCTGGGGCTGGGAGGGGGAGGACAGGGAGGTGCAGGGAGAGGATGACGTGGTGACAGGTGGTTCCCGAGCGGAGGAGGGCCAGGCCCCGGGCCACAGGCATGCTGGCGGTCACCCCGATGGTGCAGGGCCAGTCTCCAGGGGCTCCCCCACATCAGCACCAAGACCAGCCCCTGAACGTTCCGCCTTGGCTGGCACGTGTCTGAGGCAGGTCCCTGCACACAGCGCCTGTCCTCAGCAGCGCACGGGACTCGCCCCAGCTCTCCCGGCCCTGGGGGCTTCTCCCCCCACCGCACCAGACCATCTTGGTCCAAGACACCAGCTCCCTGCCTGGTCCCTGGGTCAGCAGCATCCTGCTCCGTCCAGGGGCCTCCTCTTCTACTCCCCCTCTCCCCCCTGTTGGGCTTCATGGCGCCCCTCAGGGGTCCCTGACACACCGGGCACACTCCTGCCCCAGGGCCTTTGCACAGCTGTGCCCTGCCCGAGTGCCTCTCCTGAGGCTCCACCCCTCACCTTCAGGCGATGCTCAAATGTCACCTTGGAACTGGAGCCTCGCTGGTCCCCACGGCCCCCAACACGGAGCTCGGCCTGACCTGCTGTGACCGGTAGCCTCACAGACATCACTCCAGGGTGGCATCTGTTGTCCCCGCCTCGTCCTCATGGCCTAGGATGGTGCCTGGCTCCAGCTGGTGCTCTGAGGGGGCGGGGCGGGACCGTCACTGCCCCTGCTCCACTCTTGCTGTTACGGCACCGAGGCCTGGAGTAAGATCTTCAAGAAGTGCCCTTTTGTCTTTCTAGTAGGAAATGTTCTATCCTGATGTAGAACGTGGAAAAGTTATGAACGAAGGGAAACTCCTGTGTCCGCAGGCCCTGCCTAGGGGGTGGCTGACCCTGTCCAGCCCCAGGGCCCATACACACATGTGCACATGAAATGTTCTATCCTGATGTAGAACGTGGAAAAGTTATGAACGAAGGGAAACTCCTGTGTCCCCAGGCCCTGCCTAGGGGGTGGCTGACCCTGTCCAGCCCCAGGGCCCATACACACATGTGCACATACATGTACACATGTGCACACACACACAGGGTACTTCACTCCACCTGTGGGGTCAGCCCCATCCACCCCGCCGTGCTCTTCCCTGGCCTCATCTCGGGGATGGAAGACCCGGTGGCCTGGCCCTGGCTGCTGCAGGTGACCCAGCTCTGGCCGCACCCCTGACATTTGTCCAGCCTTATGTGGGAAGGATTTGTCCATTTCTGTGACGTTAGTAAAACCTGTATATTTCTCTACAAGGATGTTTTTCAGTATGCCATTCCAGTCTGGTTTTTGCTGTTATAACTGGTGTTCTTGACCACTCCGGCTCAGTTCAACACCTGGGACAGGGACGGCCACGCAGGTGGAGCGTTCCCAGGCTCTTGGCACCCGGGGTGGGGGAGCAGCTCTTCCAACGGGAGGACGGTGGCAGCAGCTGGTCCCGGAACGACCCGGGCCATCTGTCGCGTGAACTGGGCTGCCCTGCGCAGCCAGAGCTGAGTGTCCGGGGGCTTTGGGGCTGGCTCCCAGTCTGCGTGTCTTGTCACTCGCCGTGTGGGAGGGAGTGATGTCGCTCCTCAATGTCCTTACAGCTGGGTCTCAGTTCTTAGGGACGTGCCTGGCCCGCACATGAGCACAGCACAGGCCCAGCGAGCATGTGAGCAAATGAGGGGGACAGAGCCAGGGACGGAGGGCGCAGCAGCTGCCAGCGAGCAGGCGGCTGTCTCAGTCCTTCCTGCTGCTCTGACGGGATCCCCGAGTCTGGGGAGTCTCAAGTGTGTGTATGATCTTTTTTTTAAACTGTAGGAATCAGTGCTGAAATGCTGGGTAATTTATAAGGAACGGAAATTTATCTCCCAGAGTTCTGGAGGCTGGAAGGCCAAGGTCAAGGAAGTGTTTATCCTCACGTGCAGAAGAGCTGAGAGGGCCACCCGCTGCCACAAGTGCTCATTGTAGTGACATTAATCCACCCAAGAGGGTGGGCCCTCAGGACCCAGACACCTCCCTCCAGGCCCCACCTCCCACCGCTGCCGTCTTGGGGACTGTGTTTCCAGCTCACGAGTTCTGGGGGCACATTCAGACCCTGTCAGTGAGTGAAGGAGCGTGTGGCTGTGTCACTGAGTTCACGTGGGTGTGAGCATGGGATCAGGGTCTTCCCCGTCCTGTCCCTGTGTGTCGCAGCCCCCGAGCCGCCACTCAACCTCCACCCTCTCCAGGCACAAGCGTGGGTCCCAGGCCCCGTTTCCTGCCGCCGGCCACTCCTCTGTGGGCGGCACCTTGAGATTCAAAAGCTGGTGTCTGAACACTCAGAAACGGGTCGGTTACGGCCTGAACGGGAGGACGGCCCGATGGGATGGGGTTCATCCTGCGTCAGCGTGGACGGGTGCTGTCGCCCAGTCCCTGCACCTCTCTGATGTGGGTTCCAAGACATAAAGAGAAATGAAAACTTCAAGCAACCTGCCTCATTTGGCTGCTCGAGCGGCACTGGCCGCTTGGGATGGACCCCAGGGGCGCGTGGAGGCTTCTGGTGGGCGGCCCCCACCTCCCGCTCGGTCTCAGACTCGCGGCCTGCGCTTCTGCACTTTTCAGCTCAAGTAGAATTTTTCTGACTTTGGCTATTTTCTTCTAGATTTTGTGTTTTAAGGAAAAAGCATTTGGCGTTTGAATACAAAGCATATTGAAATGCCAAGTTTCTTCCCGTTTAATTTTGTGACCTGAGTACGTGCAAAAACCTGATCTGGTAGGGGCGTTGCCGAGCATTGACCTGGCTTTTCTCGGGTTGTTTTTCCCAGTTGGAGAAGAAGCAGACCCTCCCTCCGTTTCAGCCGCAGATAACGGACGACTACGGTCTGGACAACTTCGACACGCAGTTCACCAGCGAGCCCGTGCAGCTGACCCCAGACGACGAGTAAGTGCTGCGGGTGGGCCACGGCCAGCACGCGGACACCCCGTCCCTCCAGCAAGCGTGGCGCCACTCTTCCCTGTCCCCTTCTGTTGCTGCAGGGACGTCATTAAGAGAATCGACCAGTCTGAGTTCGAAGGCTTCGAGTACATCAACCCATTACTGCTGTCCACCGAGGAGTCTGTGTGAGGCGTGTGCATCCCTGTCGTGGACACACCTGTGAATGGCCCTTTCACTTTATCCTTAACCACAGCATCTGCATGCCAGGCTGGCACGAGGCTCCGAGCGGCCGGGGAGGGATGCTTGCCGCTGAGGCCGCGCGGGGAAACGTCGGGCGGGCGCTTCTTGGAGCAGGACAGTGTCTCGCATCCGGGCCCCGACGGGCCGCTTCGTGCTGGAGGAATCTGCTGCTTGTGCCTGCGTCACGGAGGACCCGCCGTGACCTGCCCCGGGCGAGACACACCCACTGTCGAAGGTGCCCATGTTCCGCAGAAACAGAACTCAGTGCACTGACCTGCTCCGCCAGGAGAGTTAGCGTGTAATGTCCCGAGGAATAAAGTGTCCCGATGATGTCGAAGCTCTCCCTTGACGCCTTTTTTCCGCGAGTGGCACCTGCCGACGGCTCCAGCGCAGCTCGCGTGAGGAGCGTGCTCCCGAGCAGGCGGGGTGCAGGCTGGGGAAGGGAGTTTAAGTGCCTACAGGATGCACCGCAATGAAGGATTTTTACAAATTTGGAACCTTTTCTAAATCCCGGTAAGTCCCTGTTGTTAATATTTAACAAGTGTTTTCACAGAGAGCCGTAGCTACCGCCGGGTCCATGGCTCGAGTGACACCCTCGCCAGACTGGCCGCACTGGCCCTGGCCGGCCCCTCGGACGGTGATGAGGAAAATTGGATGATGAGATTCTGAAACGTTGCTCACCAGAGCACCAGTACACCAAAAAAAGGGAAAAGAAAAGTGACCACTAATGTGCACAAAATATATTTCTGAAAACACTGAGCGGTGCCTCCGTCATGTCTTGTGTTATGTATCAGGTTTTTGGAAAATATTTTTACCAGTCGTGCAATACTCAGAATTAGGACATAAAAAAGCTACGTGTACGAAGGACCCTAGCCTTAAACGGTAACCCAGACCCCCCGCTGCATCCTCCTGGCGAGGCACACCTCCTGCTTCCAGTCACTCACTTGTCACTCACTCACCCTCCTCCTCAGGGGAAGGGACAGCTGGATCAAGCCGAGCCAAAGTTTTTCTAGAAAGAGGTCAATCATTGGGGTTTTTTAAAGTCCTTATCACGCCAGGTATGGCACAGCCATCTCTTAAGCCCCTCCGCCACCCGGCCGTGTGCAGGGGAGGGGGCCTCACTGCGTAGTGACCGAGGGCCCCTCGTCCGCCTGAGCCAGGCCTGGTGTGTGCACGTGGGCCATCGCCACGCACCCCTCTCGGCCGGGTGTGGAAACCCTGCACTTCCATGGTAGGCGGCGGGAGGCAGAGTCTCACGCTGGGGCCACTTCACTGCGAGGCCGCTGGCATCAGGGGGAGATTATGGTGACAGGAACCAGCGCCACAAGGCTGATGCCTGGGTGCAGCCCCTCCTCCCACACTCAGGCCTCTCAGGGCGACCACGCCTGGTGCTGATCACGACACTACAGATTCACACCCGGGCCCTGAGGTGCTAGGACGAGAGTGCCCAGGACTCCACGCTGTGCCCGCTGCCCGAGGCAGTGCAGGTTTCTGGACACCCTGCCACTCTGCAGCTGGGGCATCTGGGTGGCTCGGTAGCTTTTATCAAGCATGGAGACATCTGAACCAGCACTCCCAACTTTAACCAGTAAGACCTGCCTCCAGAGACTGACATTGGCAACGGCAGAGTCCGAGAGCCGACTGCCGTGTCTCACGAGGGTGTCCCAGCCCGGCATGGGGGCAAGCAGGCAGCCAGAGCCCTGGCTGCTGAGGGAGTGAGTAGACCCCTGTGGGTGTCAGGACAGGGCTCACCAGCAGGCCGCCACCTGAGCGCCCCTTCCTCCTGACCGGGTCGTCTGCTGCCTTGGACAGTGACGACTTCTTTGCTCAACAGCACAGGGGCCCTTGATTTGTTAAGATTTTAGGCATTTATTTAAACATTGTCGTGTTGCCAAGTGGCTTGCTGGTTACCCGTGTAGTTGCTCGTGTAGAAGACGTAACCTGTGCTCATCGGAAGGGAGACCTTTATTACAGCATCTGTTTTATAAATTAAAGTGGAGACGTTCTGCGGTGTGGTGTGAAAAAACCCTGACGTTCACAGACAGCTCTGGTCACGGCAGTGTGTCCTTTGGAGGTGGCTCATGGAAACTCCGGTGATTTAGCCATTGTGAGCAGTAAACGCGTCCCTGTAGTTTTGTGCAATGAGTGAGCAGAGCCCGTCGCCACCGGGTTCACCAGTGGATGACACCCTCACCCTCAACGGCCAAGGCCATTCGTGTTCTTGCACATCGATTAAAGACTTGAATGAAAGTGCTTATGTTGTTGGGTTTTTTTCATTACAAGTAGGTGTTTGCAGGAAGCAAAGGGCTTTGAAGCCATTTTCTTAAATAGAATTAATTTTTTAGTGCAGTTTCAGGTTCACAGCAAAATCAAGCAGAAGGTAGAGACGTCCCATGACCCCCCGGCCCCATAGTGTCTCACCAGAGAGGTACACCTGTCCCTCGGGTGAGCCTACGTGGACGCATCATCCCCACAGCAGGCACCGGCTTGGCTCGGAGCCGCGTGTGCTGTGGGTTTGTGCGGGTGAAGGGCGAGCGGCCCTGTGCCTAAGCCCCTACGCCCACCGCCCACCCGCGGCCGTCTTGCACGCCTCGGTCCCGCCTCTCCAGACGTGGGAGTGGCACCCCCAGCGCCAGCCGCCTCTGACGGGCCCCTTCCACTGCTGAACACACACTCCACGTTGCTCTGTGTCTTCTTGTGGCTTATTGGAAGCCGTTTGGAAAGGAAAATAGATTTCTGGATGTCACTCGGTTTTCACGGCATGCCCGTCCCGTCCCCAGGCCCAGCCGCTCCAAATCCGGCGCTGAGTAGCACTGGAAAGAAAATGACCTAAAAGATGTGCTCCTGCCCCGTTTCCACCCCCCATCAGCCTGGACACCGTGTGCGACAGGCGTGTCCTGGCGGACTGGCCCACCCACAGCTGATGTCCCTCTCCTTAAATTCCCTGTTTAAGGAGAAGTTGCTTCAAAACCCCTGCCAGTCAGCAATGGGGTCCCAGGGCCCCAAACAAGGTGTCTTAGCTCTAGCGGCCGTGACAAAGCACCGCAGCCCGGGGCTTAGGCCGCAGACACTTGCCTCTGCCACTTTGGAGGTGAGGGCCCACTTCCAGGTTGCCGATGGCCGCTTCCCTGCTGTGTCCTCGCGTGGGAGAAAGACGGTGAGAGCTCTCTGGGGTGTCTTCCTACAAGGGCACTAATCCCAGTCACGAGCCATGAGCGCTCCCAAAGGCCCCGCCTGATGCCATCGGCTTGGGGATTAGGTCTTCAACACTGAGTCCACGACATGCAGTGACAGTTTCTTTACCTCTGGTCATATTTGCAGCTGCAAAGGAACGCAAGTTCCTTTGGGGGTTGAAACACGCTGGGACCCCAGGGCCAGTCCAGCTGGAAATACCAAGTCCTGCACCACGAAGGAGTTTCAACGTACCTGCCTGGGACTGGGTCTGTTAATCTTCCGGTTTCGCTGCAGTGAATCAGCACCCTGCCCTTAAGTGTATGACAAAAAAGAAAAAGGAATCCACCGTTTCGGTCTCAACACAGAGGGACGGCAGAAGCAGCTCCCACCGTCCTGCTTTATTGCCTACATTTACGAGCAGAGGAGGAGGCTCCGGGAGTAGCAGGGAGCAAGGCCTGGGCCCCTGCGCTGTCCAGTGGTGACTCAGCCTGGAAAAAGCCTGCTCTGGACCACCCGGCGGGTCACCACACCACGTCTTCCGTGCCTTCTGCCAAGCACTGAGCGAGGTGGCTGTCGATGTCTTGCTGGGCCAGTCTGCAAGGAAGAAGACACACGGTCACTTGGCCACTTCCGTGCAGTGCCGACCACAGGAAAGGCACCACCTGGCCAGAGCACCCTTCCCGCACCTACACCCACCCATGGTGACGCTGTAGAAGTCAGCAACTTTCCTAAAGAGCCGCTGGAGGGGAGCCTGGCTGTTCTCTGTAGCTGGTCAGAAACGAGAGACGGGTCCAGGACCGGGGGCCGCAACCCACACTAGGGGCTACGGCACCATGTGGGCCACACCAGCCATCCTCTGCTCTTCCAAACCGTTGCTTGAGAATGCTTCCCTAGGCCAGACGTTCTCAGCACGGCCCAGGACGCACCTTCTCAGTCCCACCAGACTCCTGCGTCTGGGGTGGGGGCTGTGTCTGAACGAGCCCCCCAGGGGATTCTGGTGCCCACTCAGCTTGAGAACGTGTTCATCGTGGAGCCTTCCTTTCTGAAAGCCGACATCAAAAGCCCAACTGCACGGTGGCCAAGGGATGTCAGAGGCTCCCGGACGGGTCTCAAGGTGGGGGCCGTTCCCCATGCCGCTGGTCTGCCCATGGCAGAAGTCCCATCACGTCAGACGGACAAACCCATCAGGTGTTTCTGTATCAATAAATGGCCAGGGCAGGCCAGACTCAGGAAAACCACACCACTCGCAACCCAAAGAGAAAAGGCACAGAGACAGACGTCCCTGCTGGGCAGAGCTGCCCACGGCCCTCCACAAGAGGCAGAGGAACAGACGCTGGCAGAGGTGCGTGGCTTGGGGCTGAGAGTTTGTTTTCTTGACGCAGAGGGATGGAGCCCCACTGCGGAGAGAGATTCACTCATCTGAGCTTGGGGCCGCAAACCCGGGAAGCCCCATGGCTCCCCAAGCTGCTTGGGAGGGCGTGGCACTGAGGTGGTGGCCGGCCAGGGCAGCAGGAAGAAACCCACCCAAGGCCTGC